GTGTGGGTCCTGCTGTATTAGGTTTCTTGTGCTGCTGCCACAACTTAGCACAGACTTGGCAGCTTACGAGAACACCAAAGCATTGCCTTACAGAATCTGGCGTGGGTCTCATTGGGCCAAACAAAGGAGGCAGCCAGGTTGCTGCCTTCCTCACTGAAGCCTTAGGGGAGGAGCTGTTCCCAGGGACTCAGGTTGTTGGCAGAATTTAGTGTCCTGCGTCTGGAGGACGAATGCCCCTTTCCCAGCGGGCTGTTGCTGGGGCTATTCCGGCTTCTAGAGGCTGGCGGCCCCTTGCTCCACCTGCAGAGCCAGCAGTGGGGGATCAGTCTCACCTTGAGCTTTTGGTGTTTCTTTCTTCGTGACTTCAGCTGGGAAAGCTTCGGTCATAGGCTCCTGATTTATTAGGCCCCCCAGGCTGCTCTCCCATCTCACGGTCCATAACCTTGGTCCCGTGCAGAGTGCCTCTGCCCTAGCATAGCCCAGGTTCCAGCGACTGGGGCACGGGCATCCTTGGGGAGAATTGTTCTGCATCCCACACTTACCAGTCCGCACAGTCTGTTTTATCCTTTGGCTTGGGAATATTTCCTCGAATTATTTTCGTTGCTTTTGTCCCCTCTGGTTTCTCTCATTTCTCTCTGTAACTTTCTAATGTTCTTTTTTATAGCACCCTGAGGTTATGTCATGCATGTAATAAGTTCTGGGTTAACGATTCTATAATACATCTGTATATCGCGTTGTGTGCTCCCCACCCCAAGTCGGGTCTCCTTCCATCACCGTTTATATGCCCCCCTTTATGCTGCTCATCCTCACCGACCCCTCTTACCCTCTGGTAACCCTAACTGTTACCTGTGTCTGTGAGTTTGTTTTTATGTTTGTTGCTTTTTTATATCCCACATATGAGTAAAATCAAATGGTTCTTGCCTTTTCCGTCTAACTTATTTCACGTAGCATGATACTTTCAAGATCTATCCGTGTTGTCACAAATGGCAATATGTCATCATTTTTTTGGCCACATCTTTATCTAGTCATCTATCAAAAGATACTTAGGTTGTTTCCAGGTCTTGGCTATTTAAACAGGCTTTTAACCAGACTTACTGTTGTTACATCTACCTTTGCCCTCTTATCTGAGCTTTTGGTGTTTGTGCAACATAAACTGAGTTGCTTCTTGGCTTGACCAGCTTAAGATTCAACTTTTTTAGGTCTGTTATGTCAGTTATGACTCTTCTATTTGTTTTTAAGTTTTCAAAATTTTTTGTTGCTGTTGTCTCCTTTTTCCCCCTTCACTTTATCCATTTCTAAGTGTATAATTAACCATCACCAGTATCTATTTTCAATTTTTTTATTACCCCAAACAGAAACTCTGTATCCACTAGACAGTAACTCTCCATGCACTTCACCCCCCAGCTCCTGGAAACCTCTACTTTCTGCATTTGCCTATCCGAGATATTTTATATAAATAGAACCATACAGTAGTTGTCCTTTATGTCTGGCTTATTGCACTGAGCATAACATTTTCAAATGTCATCTGGGTCATAGCACAGATCAATACTTCATTCATTTTTATGACCAAACAATATTCCATCGTGTGGATAGACCACATTCTGTTTATCCATTCATTTGCTGGTGGACACTTGAACATTGCTTTCACTTTCTGGCTATTGTGAATAATGCTGGTATAAACATTCATAATAACATACGTGTTTAAATCCTTGTTCTCAGTTCTTTTGGGTATACACTTAAGAGTAGAAGTGCTGGGTCATAAGGTAATATTATTTTTAACTTTTTGAGGCACTTCAAGCTGTCTGCTGTAGCAGCTCCACCATTTACATTTCACCAGCAGTGTATAAGGATTCCAATTCCCCCACATCCTTGCCAACATTTGTTATTTTTGTTTATCACAGCCATCCTAGTAGATGAAAAGTGGGGTCTCATTATGGTTTTGTTTTTTGTTTTTAATCCTCACCTGAGGATATTTTCCCATTGATTTTAGAGAGAGTGGAAGAAAGAGGGAAAGACAGAAACATCGATGTGAGAGAAACACATCAATTAGTTGCTTCCTGCACGCACCCTGACCAGGACCTGGGCCAGGGAGGAGCCTGCAGCTGATTATGTGCCCTTGACTGGAATTGAACCCTTCTGTCCATAGGCCGACTTTCTATCCACTAAAGCAAACTGGCTAGGACTCGTTATTTATATTTATGTTTATATTTATTTATATATATATTGATTTCAGAGAGGAGTGGAAAAGGAGAGAGAGAGATAGAAATATCAATGATGAGAGAGAATCATTGATGGGCTTCCTCATGCACACCCCCTACTGGGGATTGAGCCTGCAACCTGGGCATGTGTCCTGACTGGGAATCAAACCATGACCTCCTGGTTCATAGGCCAATATTCAACCACTGAGCCATACCGGCCAGGCAACCTCATTATGGTTTTGATCTACATTTCCCTGATGGCTAATGTTGAGCATCTTTTCATGTGCTTTATTGGTTATTTGTATATCCTCTTTGGAGAAATGTCTATTCCAGTCTTTTGTTGAGTTGTAGGAATTCGTTATAGACACTGAATATTAAACCCCTACTAGATAGGATTTGCAGATATTTTCTCCCATTCTATGAATGGCCTTTTCACTCTTAAGAGTGTCCTTTGATGCATATAAGTTTTTAATTTTGAATATGTCTATATATTTTTTCTTTTATCAGTGCTTTTGGTGTCATATTTAAGAAACAATTGCCAAATCCAAAGTCACAAAGATTTGCCCCTCTGTTTTCTTCTAAGATCCTGTTTGGTTTTTCTTTTTAAAAATTACTTTACCAACGGTTTAGAATGGAGTGGAGCTAGAATGCCTGGACTCCTCCCTCTTTGGTAGAATCCCCTATAGTCCTTTAAGTTGTCAGTATCACAAAACAGAGTGAAAAATTTTAAAAACAGAGTTTTCAGTCTAGTTACAGGGAGGTTTTGTTTGCTTGTGTTTTAACCTGAGCACCTTTTCCTGTCTCAACCCCAGAGAATTTCCGTTGCCTGTGCACCCACGAGAAGGGCTTTGGCTTCAAGGGGAGCAGCTTCCACCGCATCATCCCCCAGTTTATGTGCCAGGGCGGCGATTTCACCAACCACAACGGCACCGGGGGCAAGTCCATCTACGGGAGGAAGTTCGATGATGAGAACTTCATCCTCAAGCACACGGGACCAGGTGGGACCTGATTGGGGGAGTGTTGAGGGGCCCGGGTCTGGCAGGACGCCTGTGCGGGATGGGATGTTGCCAGGGAAAAGGGTTCGCCTGGCTAGAGCGGGCCTTTTCACCACTGTGTCTGGAAAGCGGCTGACACATCAGAAACACACAATAAGTACTTGATTATTTAAAACATTCGCAGGCTGGTCTGTTAGGTGTGCGACACCCTGCCCTGCTCTGCATTGAGAGTGGAGTGGGACATGGTCCATCCACAGGGGCACCGTGCCGAGGCCCAACGGAAAGAGCGGCTTTCTCACCACCACGCACCAGCTGCAGCGCCTCGTGCCGCATGCCCTCAGCCCACCAACCTGGGCCTCTTAGACACACTCAGATGGCCCCTCCTCCAGGGAGCCTTCCGTGATAGCGCACCAGCATACATCACACACACGTGCACATGCACTTGCACACACACACGGTCCCTGTGTGGCTGCCTCTGCGTCCGGTCCCTGCACAGATGTCTGTGTCCCTGGCCTCACTCTGTCATGGCTGTTGGCACAGCTCTCTTTTCGTGACGCTTTTCCACTAGACTGAGCTCCCCTGGAGCTGGAACCGTGTCCCCAGGCTCAGCAGGGGTCTGGTTACAAAGTAGACAGGAAGTGTTTGTTGAGTGAATGGAGGGTTAAATCCGGATAAAGTGATTGAAACCCTGCTCACCGTTGCACTGCCGTCAGTTGAGGGGAAGAAAGACATCGCATGGTCTGTCCGTCCCAGCGTGGGCCTGGCTGAGGGAGCCGGGTGGAGGGACTGACTGCTCATTCCCCCCCAGGCCTGCTCTCCATGGCCAACTCCGGCCCGAACACCAACGGCTCCCAGTTCTTCCTGACGTGTGACAAGACGGACTGGCTGGACGGCAAGCACGTGGTGTTCGGGGAGGTCACGGAAGGCCTGGATGTCTTGCGGCAGATCGAGGTGGGTGCTGCCCAGGCCTCGGTGCACAGCCCGTGGGACAGCAGAGCGGCGCCCTGTGGCCTGGAGGGGGGCCCGGCTGCTCGAGGAGGAGGCTGCTCTGCTCAGCCTGGGAATGGGGGGGTGGGTGTCCCTGAGCCCCTTTAATCGTCACCCTCCCTCCCCATTTCTTCTCTTCTCTTCTGTTCCGCCCGCAAAGGCTCAGGGCAGCAAGGACGGGAAGCCGAAGGAGAAGGTGATCATCTCCGACTGTGGGGAGTACGTGTGAGAGGTGCCTCCTCCACCGCCCCGCACATCCAGGATCCCGCAGCCCCGGGGACCCAGCACCTGTTAACGGGGGTCTGTGCCGTGGCCTCCTCGGGCTCAGCTTGGAGCAGCTCCTCTGCAGGCGCGGCCTGGCCTTCCCCTGGCTCTTCCAAGTGAGGCCACGGGCCGGGATCCAGCACAGGTGCCACCCTCCCCACCGTGGACGACTTTGCATGGCCTTTCTAGGCCTTTGCTGCCAGGGCCTCTCCTGGGCCCAGCAGTGTGGCTCTGGACGTTTCTTCTGGTAAAATAAACCCAAGTTCCTGTCTTGCTGCCACCAGCTAGTTCCTGGGAAACTGCACCTATGACTAAGCTGTCACGCCGAGATAGGCTGGCGAGGAAGTGGGGCATAGTGTTTTCTCCGCAATGTGTCTTTCCCTTCTTGGGTATAGTCCCTGAGATGCCAGGTGATGTATCTTCAAGCCAGATATTCTGAAAGTCAGAGGCAGTGGAAAAGTTCCCATCTGTTGCCCCTGCTGCTAACCTGAAGCTGGCTTGTCATAGCCAACACACATACTTACGAGTCTTAATGATTCATTTATTTGTTCACTTCTGTTCTACAGAATTTAAAAAATGACATAACTCAGTGTGCCTTTTCCATGCCAGATACTGTGCTTATTTGTCAGGAGACAGGAGGTCAGCACATTACCGGAGCCTAATCCAGCCTGCTGCCTATTTTTATGAATAAAGTTTTATTGGCGCACAGCCACATCATTTGTTCACTTGGTGTCTATGGCTGCTTTCTCACTGCCCCAGCACTGTTGAATGGCCCCAATATTAGAGTTCTCCAGAGAAACAATCAGGAGGATATTGTATATATGCACCTGTAAAGAGAGGTTTATTTTAAGAATTGTTCTGTGATTGTGGGAGTTGGCAAGTCGGAAATCTGCGGGCAGACCAGCGTGCTGGCTTCTCTCCACTCCTTCCATGTCCTGGTTGCCCAGGTGGTTTTAAAGATCCCGCACCTGTGGAAGGCTCTGAGCAGGGACTGAACTCTAGCCACACCATTCAGAATCCACTGCCCTGGTTTGAACCTGTGGAAGGCTCTGAGCAGGGACTGAACTCTGTAGCCACACCATTCAGAATTCACTGCCCTGGTTTGATTTTATTTTTATTGATTTCAGAGAGGAAGGGAGAGGAAGTGATGAAAGAATCATTGATTGGTTGCCTCCTGCACGCCCCCTACTGGGGACTCAGCCTGAAACCCAGGCATGTGCCCTTGATCAGACCGCAGGCTGACGCTCTTATCCACTGAGCTAACCCAGGTAGGACAGTGCCCTGGGTTTTTCAATCTTAAGATGTGGATGCGACAAGAGGCAGGAGCGGCCTGCTGCTCCCTGGCCCTGTGATCCCAAGGTAGCTCCTACTGAGGGACAGACGATGGCATTCTGGCTTCTGTCTACCAAATGGACTCCCAGGCTTTGGCTGAGCTCCCTCTGCTGTAATTGCCCAGATTCCTGTCTCCTGTGGGAGGGATGAGCTCCCAAAAGAGACCCTCCAAGCAGAGGGCCCCATTCGTGTATGGGGTAGGGGTGAGGGTGAGGGTTAGGCTGGTTTCTGCCAATTGTCAATTCACTCCCTCACTAGCTCCATGAGGGTTAGGGTGAGGGTGAGGGTTTTAGGATTTTAGGGTTAGGCCGGGTTCTGCCAATTGCCAATTCACTCCCTCACTATCTCCATGAGGGCTGGGCCTGTCCTTGTCCTGGTCTCGACAGCTCCACCCAGGAAAAGACCCAGGCTGCGGCCGGCATCAGTCCTGTGGCGGCTGGAGTTTCCTCTAAAGCCACATCTGCCTTCCGAAGCTGCTGGCATAGACATGTGTCACTGTCACGGAAGCCTTGCACAACCGCTTGGAGGGACTGTGAGACCTGCTTTTTTAGTGATGAAACCTGAGTCTGGTAGTGTTCAGGGGATAGAAATCTAGAAAGCCATGTTTTTCAAAAATATTTATTAACAGGGAAATTTTCATCATGTAAGTGGGGAAAGCATATCTCAAAGTACTTTAATATAGTACTTTGTAAAAATACCCAACTTTGTAAAAATACCTATCTATAATATGTAAACATCTATATTTGTATGTATATCCGAAGGGGGAAAAACTAGAAATAAATTCACAAAATATTAATAGTGTATTTATCTGAGTCGTAGCACTATGGTGATTGAATTGTATTTTTTGTTTTTATTTAAACTTCCCTCCAAAACGACACTATGTGTGTAGTAAATGAAAAAAAAAATTTTTTTTAAAGGTCAAGTGCTTTGCACAAGGCCCTTACAGAAGCAGGAAAACCTGGGATGGACCATCGCTTTCAAATGCTCAGGGGCAATTGGTGGGTGCTGAGCACCTTCTACAGGACAGTGGGCTCCCTGTGTCAGGGAACACAGCCAAGTTTCACAGCCCTGGCCATTGCCAGCAAAACTCAGCACTTGCCTCGGGCCTTCCACGCAGGTGAGAATTCAAGTCCTGCCCTCAAAGTATTGCAGTAGTTATTGGAATGGGAAACCCAGCTCTGAAGTAAATACACTATCACCCTTGGGACACATTCTGGGAGGAGGCTTAGAGGGCAAGCATGGAAGGGGCTCAAGACTAGCAAGTTCATTTGTAATAACATCAGCAGGTCCCAGTGGTTAAGCATTGATAGGCCAGACATTGTCCTAAATGTTTATGGACCTATCTGATCCTTGTCACAGCCTGGGAGGGAAAAGCCAATATCCTGCTGTAGAGAGGAGGAAGAATCAGGATTCGCATCTATTTGGTTCCCAAAATCTATACTCTTGCTATGCTGCTCTTTCCTATGTCCTGGGGATTTTTCCAGAACGTGTGACTTCCCTGCCTTATTAGAAGACAGTGAGCACTAACCTTGCAACCACTTGGTCTCAAGGCCAGGACTGCACTGCGAACACCAAGGCTGCCTGCGTTTCTCCTTAGCCTGCGTCTCCATACGTCCCCCCTTCCTGCCAACTGTCCCTCGTTTCTCCTTGCTGTCGGTGGGTATGCACGGACCACCCTTCTGGTCTGATGTGACCAGATAAACAAGCCATGCCCTGAGCAAGAGAATGGGAAGCAGTGGCATCGGGCGGTGTTCCTGCCAGCCTGGGCCACCCACTGCAGCTGCCATCCTCGGCTCAGCAAAGAGATAACTCATGGAGTAAAATGCATGGGCTTGTGTCCACAATTATTTCATTGCTTGGGGCTTTTTCTATTTGATTTCATTTGGTGACTAGGTCTCAGAAGTTGCTGGAAGTCTGATGGTCAGGTGGGTAAGCAGTGACTTACTGTTCTTCAATTGTTCTGCTTGAAAACGGATTGCAACTCCTATTCATTCATGCTGTGCACAGCTTGGTTGATAGGGAAGGGATACCGTATCTACAAACCTTTGGGTCATTTGACAGGCATTTCTATTTCACCCGTACCCACACCAGGCCATTGCCGGGCACTAATGATACCAGGGGAAGTAAAAAAGTAGTTGCCAGCCCTGACTGGTTTGGCTCAGTGGATAGAGCATCGGCCTCCGGACTCAAGGGTCCCAGGTTTGATTCCGGTCAAGGGCATGTACCTTAGTCGCGGGCACATCCCCACTGGGGAGTGTGCAGGAGGCAGCTGATCGATGTTCCTCTCTCATCGATGTTTCTAACTCTCTATCCCTCTCCCTTCCTCTCTGTAAAAAATCAATAAAATATATATATTTTTTAAAAGTAGTTGCCAAAATAATTGGCTATTTTAGAATTTAGTTACCTAAAAAACAAACCTTGATGTTGAGAAGAGAGAACCTTTACACAAGGACTAGAATAGCAAATAGGTTCCATGTTATGTACCAATTCGTGACGGCCACCTGGTTCATAGCTCGGATTTGTGATGGCCACCAGCTCCAGTTTCAGGTTATGAGGCTGCATCTGGGCTCAGCACTCAGACACGGATTCCATGACGGAAGGCCCTCTCATGTTAAAGACGGGAAATGGCCCAGAAGAGGAAGCACCCACAAGTCAGGTCTCCTAACAGCTGGGCCAATGCTCAGGTCCCTACATTGACTGATGGGGAACTCAATAGCTTCAAGATAGTCTGTGCCCCTGGGAGGGCCTCTTTCTCAGCACTCACTCCCGGAATCCCTCCCAGTCCAGGGGTCAGGGCTGCTGCCCTACAGCCCGGCCCAGCCTCCACCCCTGCCCCAGACCTGCTCTCCCGGAGCCTGCCCTCAGGGTGCAGAGTGGATCCCAGGGTGCGCGTCCTTGGACACACGGGTCGTTCTGCCTCTGTGGGCCGTGCCTGTGGGTTGGGGTGGGCCCAGGATCTGCTATTAACGACACAGTATTTCAGGGTTCAGGCAGCTGGACTGTCTGCTCCAGCAGGTAAATTACAGGGTTAGCAAGTTAGAAATCAAATCAACACTCCCACTGCCTCGGCTGCTCCAAGGAGAACAGTGGTTTCCGGGAACCTTCCCACCCAGCTCACCCTAATTACTGCCTGTCACTCCCCTGGGACAGAGGCCTTTTCTTGGGCTCACAGGCCCCAAGAAACAGGACGGGGCTCCTGAGCAGACAGGGTGACGCAGACTTTGGTGACCAGCCTGTGTTTTGACAACTTATGGACACAAACGGGTGCTGACAAGTCCCTACCCTGGCCCCACACCTGGCCACAGGCTGCCCGGTGTTGCAGACACATGGCTCTGGGTGGAATAGATTGCTCCTTAGCAGGAGACGGCACGGTTTCAATTCACATGCCAACTCTAATGTGCTGGAAGCAGCTGCCTGGAGTTCTGTGCTGAGCACTTGAAATTCTATCCACATTTGGTAGAAAACAGTATCAAGGTTGATTATTGATGCCTGTCACACAGAAGAGAAAGGCACGTTATGTCATCTGTGCTGGGCACTGTCATCCTGGGCTACACAATGTGCGCTGGGCTCAGTAAAAAGATACTTTCCCACGGAGCTGAACTCCCGACGTTCAACACGATGACAGACAGTGGGTCAGTGAAACCCCAAGATTTTTGTTTCTCCAAAGAAAAAATGTCAATGCGCTGCATGCTGAGACAGTATAGACAGATCTAGGGCAGGAAGACAGAAGAGAAATGCCCTTGGCCCTAGCCCCTCACCGTGCTGCTCGTTCAGCTCTTTCTGGAGTTGCCCATAGGCCTCCCTATGGCCAGCAGCTTGGTAATTCAGATCTGAAAATACAGAGCACACAAGGCAGGTCCATGCTCTTTAACAAGTACCCAGAAATGCCTACTTTTCCCCCTGGGAAGGGTAGGCAACTGGAGGTGGGCCAAACCCTGTCTACACACCCCAAACCCTGCAACGGAGCCTGGAGGACCTGAGCTGGCCACCTTGGGCTCCAGGTGCCTCTCAGGTCATTGCACATCTGCCCACAGCCCAGGCCAGCAATGAGATGGGCAGGTCCTCAGATAGCACTTTTGTGCTGACCCCAGGACATGGCTGGGGCAGAACCCTGCCTGATGACTCCGCCCTCCAGAACTAAATGCCGGAATCTATCACAACCTCAGGCAGGGGAGGGGCGGTGGAGCCTGGAAGGACCAGCCCTGGCAGGAAGGAGGAAGGGGCAGGGACATGTCGATCTGAGGACTCTCCGTGCCAGTCCTGTCTGTGCTCTGGCTGGGTTTGGGGGCCTCAGCCTCTGGAGCGGGGCTGACCCCGGCGGGAACCAGCTTGTCAAAAAATTCAAATATTTATATACAAAATATACCATGATACTGAGATACATCACTGGACTTCCTCTTTTTCTTTTCTCCATGGAGAAATATACTGGTCATATGTATGTCACTTTTAAACATTCTATTAAACACTCAAAATATGCAGTGTTCAGAGGAGGTCTCTCAGTGTAGGATTTGATCAGTGTGTACAGATGAATTACAAAGCAAGCTATTTTCAATGTGATGGTTTGACTGACAACTATCGAGTTTTTTTAGTACTTCAAATTATTAACAGATAAACCAAAAAAGAACAGTTATATTTGGTTCCTTCCTCTTTTTAAGGCCAACAGTTAAGACTGAAATTTGTTTTACTTAAAAACAAAAACTGCTCTTTGAGGCCTGGGGCC